GGTCAGGATTCTGAACTTTGCCATCACCCCTCCCTGCCACACACAGATACACACACACACACACAGTATTTTAAGAAAAAGAAAGAAAGAAAAGAAAAGGAAATTTAGGCTGAAAAAGTCACAAAATAGGTCAGATATTTTCCTCTGCTCATTCTTGCATTATTTGCTGCTGGTTTTAAAGGCCAGAATTGTTGAGACTCTTCCACATTTTCTTGAGGGGCTTCAAACTTGGAGACATTGCAGGGACATAAAAACCAAGAGGATTTTGCTATGGTTACATGGAGAGTAAATTGTTATAAACTAAGAGCTGTGAAATATCAATTTGGAGAGGGTACTTACCTCTTCCCAGGACACTCACAGATGAGACCACATTTTTGCCACATCCCCTCTGGGCACAGTTGACTGCTCAGTTGGTTCCTGGAGCCACTTGTTAGCTGAATCACTGGGAGGAGGGTTGGCCTCTGTGTTCATTGTGAATATGTGTGGTTCTGACACTGTGATTCCCCACACCCTTGTGAGTCAGGATTAACAGAAAGCAGACTCTCTTCTACTCCTCTATAAAAGGTCAGTTTAAAGAGAAAAATGATGATGTCTCTGGAGATTATGGTCAGGAAAAGGGGCTAGCAATAAAAGCAAGAAGGCAAGAGTTCTGAAGCAAGAACTCTCAAGAGGTGCCTTACAGGTTAAATAGATCACAAGGCTGGAGTTCAGATGTTATCAAGCCACAAGAATGTGAGGTAGAGGTTAAGAGTAGGCTGAGATTAAAGCAGGCATTTCTGATAAATGTTTTCTATTAGTTTTAAGCCACTCTAAAAGCAGAGAAGTGGGGCTGTGACAAGCCCCTTGGCGAATGAGGAAAGCGAGCCTTGGAGGGGGCTCAGTAAAGGATATTTAGCAAGCAAATGATAGAGCCTAGACTCACACCCAGGCTTGTCTGACTCCAAAGGCTGTTTGCGCCACGTGCCTTATAGCACTTTGGACCTCCACTTCGGCAGGGGAATTTGTTTTATTCTTGGATGATATTGAATACTTCCCATTCGTTAGCATCAATGGATTTCAAGTGCTATGAGGTAAAGTACCTCTTATTGTACACTCAGTTCAAAATTTCTAATTATTTTTATAAGGCCACAGTAGCACAAATGGAAAGTGATACTTGCCATTAATTTTTTCCTGTTTTAGATTCTTCTGGCCCACTTTATTTCTGATTAGATTGAGGTGACACAGTGATTTTTTGTTTTATTTTGTTTGCATTGTTGATCTACAGCCATGGTTTTCAAACTTTATTGATCTTAGAACCCCTTTATACTCTTCATTACTAAGGACACTAAAAAGCTTTGTTTAAATGAGGTATATCTATTTGTATTTCCTGTACTAAAAATCAAAACAGACTTTTATAAGAGTATACAAGTAAGCATTCCATTAACTCTTGTATCCTCTGAAAATCCCCACTATACAATTGTGAAAGACTGATATTTTAAAAATCAAATAATATTTTAGTAATATTGTGAAAGTAATATTGACCTCACAGACTCCCTGATAGGATTGTGGGGAACCTGGGCCACATTTTGAGAGCCACTGATCTAGAAAACGTACCTGTTTATGTTGATGTAGGCAATTGTTTATAATGCAACTATAAGTCCCAGGACTAGGGGCTAAAAAACAAGGGAGTTAGGACAGGACCATCAGGTAATAAATGGTTCAGAAAATAAGTTGACTGACCAGTCTGTGAACTTCTTTCATCTTAGATTTAAAAGGAGTTAGCTTTTATTTCTGAATTATTAGTATGTTCATATGTGGGAGTGAATAGCGAATTGTTTTTAATCTGTAGTAGTTTAATAAATTCTGATGTTTAAGATATGTTTAAACATTTCGTCCAGATAGAATTTTATTACAGAGATGTTCGTTTCATTGTTTCTACTCACACTTAACCATTGTTTTTTGGTCACTCAGCCCTGGATCCACCTTTCCTCTCTTGGCATATCCCACTGCCACCTGCAGGAGGCTGAAGTGCTAGATACTTACATCTTTGGCCATCTTTGCAGCTTGGCTGCAGGTATGTGACCCAAACTCTGCCAGTTAGACACCTGCATCTCATGCTTTGAAATAGAAACTAGGGACATATAGAAGTACATGGCGGCTGTACATCGTTCCCAGGGCAGCAGCTGGTTGCTGGGATTGCTGGTGTTGGTAGAAGAAGCTGTAGAATTCCCTGCTCATCAGGTAATAGAGACAGCAGGGGTGTTTCCACCAGGCCAGTGCCGCTGTGTGGTTTGGGGCAGTGTTCTTGGATGTGTAGCTTCTGAACCTGATTTCTCTGGCCTGCCTAGAAATTTGTGTTTTTTTTTTTCATTATCCTTCCATGAATTCAAGAGTCAGACCTTTGCCTGCAGCTAAGAATCCTACTTAATTCATTCTGAAATGCAGTGTCTCTCAAAGTATTGTTTGGCAACCTCATGTATATGGAATCACCTGGGCCGTATCTGACAATACCTACTTGTAGACTTAGAACCTATGGATTCAGAATCCTTAGGGTGGTTCTTAGGAGACTGCATTTTAAACAGATCTCAGGTTTATGTGATTTTAGATGCAGTAAAATTTAAAAACCACTACCTAATGTTTATAACTTTTTAAATGCTATGTTCTCTCTTTAAGGGTATGAGCAATCATCAAAAGAGTTAAAAAGACAGAGCAAAGGCTTATGGGGAATGTGAAGCAGGGGAAGGCGAGGAAAAAGGAAACACTAATAAGTCATTTATTAGGGCCTTGTAAAAGAGTAGAATTGGCCGGGCTTGGTGGCTCATGCCTGTAATCCCAGCACTTTGGGAGGCCGAGGAGGGCAGATCTTTTTTTTTTTTTTTTTCTGAGATGGAGTCTCACTCTGTTGCCCAGGCTGGAATGCAGTGGCATGATCTCAGCTCTCTGCAGCCTCCACCTTCTGAGTTCAAATGATTCTCCTGCCTCATCCTCCGTAGTAGCTGGGATTACAGACATGCACTACCACACCCTGCTAATTTTTCTATTTTCAGCAGAGACAGCGTTTTGCCATGTTGGCTAGGCTGGTCTTGAACTCCTTACCTCAGGTGATCTGCCCTCCTCGGCCTCCCAAAGTGCTGGGATTACAGGCATGAGCCACCAAGCCCGGCCAATTCTACTCGTTTATAAGGCCCTAATAAATGACTTACTAGTGTTTCCTTTTTCCTCTCTTTCCCCTGCGTCACATTCCCCATAAGCCTTTGCTCTGTCTTTTTAACTCTTTTAATGTCTTTTTTCCTGGGATTATTTTTTCTCACTGAGAAGTGTTAATTCCTCAGTTGAGATTGCCTACATTCAGTGGTGCCAGAATTATTAACTCGGCTTCTAAACTACACTGTGATGGAGCATGTCTTTTCTTTCTTGGGCATTTTTGTAACCTGCAGGTGTAGAGCTCAATGTTTACCCCAGGGATTACTGGAGACAGTGGAGGGGAAAGACTGGGATACAAGAGTAATTTTTCTTGAAGGGTTCCTTCACACACCGTGGATTTAGGCCAGAAAATAGCACTGGAGGTGTTGATTGATCTACTTCTGAGATTTCTAGAATCACTGATTGTTATAACTGAAAAGAATCTATCTTAACCCCTTGTTTCCTAAATGAGGAACTGAGGAGAAGATCCACATCCAAAGCCATCTAAGTGATGGGTGGGGTATAAAGACAAAATAAATTTAGAAATGGAAAGTGGCGATGCAGAGCTTGACCTACACTAGCATAAAATGGAAGGGAATTACTAATATTTATTGAATTAATATTTGAACTTGGGTACATTCACTTGACTTCTTTGAACCTCAGTTGTCTAACTACAAAATAAAGATCCTACTAATAGCCAACAATGATAAAATATTGACTATATGCTAGGGTCTATTGATATTTTAAGGACTTTATGTGCTAACTCATTTAATCCAAGCACAACCACATGACAAAGGAGCTGCTGTTTCTCCCATTTTGTAGATGCACAGAAAGGCTACATAACTTCCCTGCAGTCACACAGCTAAGCATATTTGTTTTCTATTGCTGCTTTTCAAATTTTTATGAAATTAATAGCTTAAATATACATTTATTATCTTACTGCTTTTTGGGTCAGGAGTCTAGGCACAGCTTATCTCGGTCCCCTGCTCATGGTCTCACAAGGCAGCAACTGAGTTGTTGACATGGGCTAGGGTCTTGTCAGAGGCTTGGAGTCATCTTCCAAGCTTGTGTGGTCATTAGCAGAATTAATATCCTTGCAGCTTTGGAAGTTGGGGTGGCTGAGTCTTTAAGGCCAGCAGGAGAGAATCTACTTCTTTTAAAGGTCTTACCTGATTAGATCCAGACCACTCAGGATAATTTTTCTTTTGATTAACTTAACATCAACCATTAGGGGGATTCATAAAACTATAATATATTTTCATGTTTGCCATATGTTTCAACATAATCACAGGAATAATATTCTATGACCTTTGCTGTCTTCTATTGGTTAGAAGACAATTACAGGTCTTAACCACACTCAAGTGGAGAGGATTACATAAACCTACAGATATCAAGGGGCAGGAATCACAGAGCTATCTTAGAATTCTGCCTGTCATAGTTCTAAGGTTGAGTTTAAATCCAGACTGGCTCTAGGTTTAGAGCTAGTCCGTGCTCCTAACCAATATGATCTTCTTTCTTCCTTTGAAGAAAGTGAACCTACTTTATAACCCTGCATAGAGTTCTGAGTAAGGTAGCCCCAAGCAGATTCATACTGGGTGCCAGTCAAATGTGTATTATTTTCACACCTTCACTTTTAAAGGTCAGCTTCAAGAAACCATAACCACCTGTAGTTTTGTATTTTCAAGAAGATATTTCCAACAGTCTCCCTAAACACTCAGGTTATATAAGTTATTTCAATTTGTTCATGTTTTTCTGAGGCAGAGCTAACCCTGGGGTTTGGGATTTCAAACTTGGGCCTCAAAAAATAACTTTAGCTCTGCTTCTTGTTTTTGAAACAGATGAAGTGATTGAGAAGAAACAGTGAACATCCTCCTTTTACATTTAAGACAACATGGATCAGCCTTTTACTGTGAATTCTCTGGTAGGTCACACCAGCTGATATTTAACATTTGGTTGAAAAGCCCAAAAAGAAGAACAGAAACATACAAATGTGAAATGAGTCACAATTACTTTAAGAAGTTTAGCACTTGTAGTTTTTCATCCATCTGTGTGGTTGTCTCCTTTGAGGAAGTGACTAATAAAGCTATCTTTGCAAGACTTAAAAATAAATTTTATTTCCCACAAAAGTCTAAAATTTTAGTTTATCTGGATAGATTCCAGGAGTGTAGTCCTTTGGCAAAACCCTGGAGAGAAGAATTTCAGAGTTGATATCCAAGGAGCTACTTAAAGTTCTTAGTGCCTCAGCTTCTTTATAGATAAAAATTGGAGACTCACTTCGTATGGTGACAACTGAGAAAAACATACATAACACCTAGGTATTGCTTTGGAGCCTTGTGTAAATGTCTTTGTACTTGAAGCTCTTATGCTTCTCACTTTTCCCCTCACTGCCCAGCACTGTGCACACTTTCTCTAGCTAGATCACATGGGCTTATCCTGTGTCCTAGATCAGTCTGTGAGTGTGAATATAAACACATTATATAATCTCCATGGCCCTGATTTCATACTTTGTGCCCAGTGACAATTGGAAACAATATTTTTGTTGCTTCTATCCTATCATGATGGTACGACAAATAGAAACTGTCATTCCCATTTTCCTCCTCCTGATGACCCTCCCCAACCACTCATGGCGACCTTGTAGGAGTCGGCCTATGAGCTGCAGTATACTAAATACCCTATATGCACAAAACTGAGCACCAGGACATAAGGAAATAGAGGTCCTGGTTCTTGTACTGAAATAGATTGTGACCTCATGTTTTTTCTTGACCAAGAGAGTCGTTCACAGAGCTTAGTTGTTTTCAGAGTATGTTTGGAAAGTGGACAATTGCAGAAACGTTTTCACTTTCTGTCCCCATGTTGTTGTTCCACTATGGTTGATAAAGGCTAACGCGTTTCCACCTCTGCAGAGCAAAGAGTCATCCTTATGAGATGTCTTCTGTGTTTTTCTAGAATATTATATAACAATAATTAAAATTTTATTGTGTATGTCACTGTAAAATTGAACACAAAGGCTTTTTATATGGAAAATTTGTGTTTTCATCCAAGAAGCTTGCATGCAAATGAAATATTATAGATTGATGAAGACTTTAGGTTATTTTCCAGCTTATCTTTGAAATCAATTTTAAATTTGGGAAAGATAGGACCATGCAAAAAAGGAAAATCAATCTAATTTTAATTTTCAGGAAAAAACCTAATTACAGTCTCTTATTGCTTCCTTTTTTCTCTTTCTCACTCCTCTCTTTTATTTGATGTACTCATTAATGATCACCTATGTCGCAGGGAATATGCTACATTCTAGGAAACAGAGATAAATGGAAAATGATCCTTTTTAAATCCCCAAGGAGTTCATAAGGGATTGGACATACTTGTACAGAAATAATGATAACTCGGTGTGGACTATATAGTAGTAAAATATGAACACATTACTTTTATGCATGTGAGAGGATGGAACCCCCTTTAGAAAACGTTCTGATTTTCATAGATATTTTTTCTAGTCATTTTCTGATGTCATCGAAGCAATTATCTGTGGTCAAATAACAATATTTTCATTTGGTGCTGCTGAGTTCTACAGATGAGTGTGGTTAGGGAAAAGTGGATGGATTGCTGTAGGTTTTGAGACATCTCAGTTGGAAAAGACTATATACTGAAGCCTGAGGCTCAAAGTTCAGAAACTCCAATTTCTGTCTCTGAAGTGGGGAAGCCACATAATAAAACGTACAAGGGACATGGCATGCTTCTTACTTAATGGAGCCTTGAGAAACAAATTTATGGCTCTCTGGTTACATATTAAACCTTTAGGAGCAAGAATCATTTCAGACCTCTGGAGTTCTATTGGCTATAAAAATACCAGCAAAGTAGGCCAGATGGCACTGGAAGAACTCCAGATATCTAATTCACTATACTTTGCCCCTGAAGGTTGGCTCAGTAATCCATGGCCAGACTAAACGTATGCCTACCTTGACTCTTTTGTAGCTTTCTATAGACCTGAATTAGGTGCTCCACCCACACAGTAGTCAGACTTGCAGCCTACCCTTAACTAACCAAGACCTTGAGAAGCTAAATTTGCTCTAGGCTAACTCTATTCTGGAAGCATTCAGCAATGGTAGAAGTGGTTGATCTAAAGCTGTGCTTCTCAAGCAGTGCATGCCTAAGTACCTCTGGAAAGATGGATTAAAACATTGATTCTCCAGCCTAACTCCAGAGATCCAGATCAATAGGTCTGAGGAGAGACCTATTGGAATTGGCATTTTTAAGAAACTCCCAGTTGATGCTAATGCTGCCAGTCCATGGACCATGCTTTGAAACATGCTGATCTAAAGCAGGGGTCAGCAAACTATCATCTAACGGCCAAACCACCTGCTTGTTTTTATAAATAAAAATTTGGGAGACACAGCTAGAGTCATTTTTTTTCCATATTATTTATGGTGGCTTTCATGCTGAGAGCTGAATTCAAGTTGCAATGGAAACCATATGGCTGGCAAAGCCTAAGGTACTGGCTATCTGGCGCTTAACAGAGAAAATTTCCTTTCTAAAGTGCTTTTTATTGAACAAGTATCCTGAATTATATATGTTCTATGCTTTGCCAAATGTGTATAGATGCTGTTTTTATTAATAAAATTCAAATTACTATCACTGACATTTCTTAGTAACATATCATTATTTTCTTAGTCAAGGACTAATTTAACAGTGTAATTTCTATTATGTGGAAGTCTGAGAGTCTTTTCATCTTTAAAAAAAATGGGAGGGGTGGCTGGGCATGTGGCTCACACCGGCAATCTCAGCACTTTGGGAGGCCAAGGTGGGTGAATCACCTGAGGTTGGGAGTTCGAGACTAGCCTGACCAACATGGAGAAACTCCATCTCTATTAAAGATACAAAATTAGCCAGGCATGGTGTCACATGCCTGTAATCTCAGCTACTTGGGAGGCTGAGGCAGGAGAATCACTTGAACCCAGGAGGCAGAGGTTATGGTGAGCCAAGATTGCACCATTGCACTCTAGCCTGGGCAACAAGAGCAAAACTGTGTCTTAAAAAAAAAAAAAAGGAGGGGGATTCTTATGCTTGAAAAGGCTTCTCCAAGATTTATTTGTGGTGTTTTTTTTTTTTTTTTTTTTTTTTTTTTCTCACTTAATGAAGATGCAGTGAGGCCCTAAAAACTTCTTACTAAACAACACTTATTCTGGAATATAACTGAATCTTTATAGTAACTTGAATCCAAGTTACCTCCTTGGAGACCCTGACATAAACCCTACCAGGGCAGGAATTTATTTCATGACCTGCTTCACATGATCCCAGATAGAAACATGCACAGGGATATGAAGAGCAATGGTATTTTACCTAAAATGACCTGAAACATTTGCATACCCTGGAACTTCCACATAATTGTACCCTGAAACCTAAGGTGGGATCACACTCCAGTAGCATTGTGTATTTACCCTGGATGTTTGTCTTTTTGTTGTACAGACCATGTGTTTAAGCAAAGATACTTTACTTTGATCATATCATTAACTCTTATGAAAAGATTTCCTTAGTTAATGGTATTAGGTTCCTCATAAAGAAAATACATCCATAATAATAGTCATATCCTTTTCTTACTATAATTAACGATTAATCAGAGATTTAAATTTTGCTTTGCAGAGAAAGTTAGCTGCTATGCCTGACCATACGGATGTTTCCCTGAGCCCAGAAGAGCGAGTCCGTGCCCTAAGCAAGCTTGGTTGTAATATCACCATCAGTGAAGACATCACTCCACGACGCTACTTTAGGTCTGGAGTAGAGATGGAGAGGATGGCATCTGTGTATTTGGAAGAAGGAAATTTGGAAAATGCCTTTGTTCTTTATAATAAATTTATAACGTAAGTGTTTTAAAGGCCTCTGAAGTAAGAAAATTGGAAAAAATATTTACATACTTTGATGTGGCAGTTTATCAGTCATGTTTTCATATTTAGACCAATTGCACAGTCTCTAGGAGCATTACATGTTCTGGTTTTTAAATTACCAAGTAATGTACTCACGGGCATCCCAACATCATCTCTGAGGCTTAGGGTCAGGGAGGGCATGAGGCTCAAGTTTATTAGATTTTCTCTCCAAGGCCAGTACAGTAATCTATTTAATACATGTTTCACTCTTCATAAATAAAATTTCTTTTTTCATGCCATTTTCCCTGACAGAAATTGAAGCTTTATGAGAGCAAGAACTATAGTGTAGCTCCATTTACAACACCTGGAACATGCCATCAACATTTTAAAAGGTTGATTTGGTGTACCTAGGGGGCAAGTTGGGAGATACAGGAAAGATCTGATCCAGGTGCAGGGATAGGGTGCCATGGTCAGTTTCACATAGCATTTATTATTTCTTTTTAAAAAAACATTTTATTTGGCTGTGTAAGAACACCATGTACAAAAAAGCTTTCAAAATGTTGATTAAAAGTGGCTACATCAAGACAGCCATGTCAAAATATCATATTTCTTATTAGATATTAGTTAGTGACATATCCTAGTTGAAGAGTTAACGGAAACGAGATTTGGATTTTCCTTACTAATTTAATAACGTACTGGTTGAAAGGCTGTCCTGTTATCAATAATTGTATAATCTAAGCTGAACCCTCTATTTTTTATTTTAATTGAAAGTCACACATTGATTACTTTTGCTAGCTTATTTGTTATTTATTAATTTTACTTAAATTGACAAATGAAAATTATATATATTTATGGTATGCAACATGTTTTGATACATGTATGCATATATTGTAGAATGACTAAATCAAGCCAATTAACATATTTATTACCTCACAGACCTTTTTTTGAGATAGGTTCCCACTCTGTTGCACAATCATAGCTCATTGCAGCCCTGACCTCCCAGGTTCAAATGATCCTCCCACCTCAGCTTCCCGAGTAGCTGGGACTATAGGCATGTGTCACCATGCTCAGCTAATTTTTTATTTTTGTAGAGATGGCATCTTACTATGTTGCCCAGGCTGATCTCCAACTCCTGAATGTAATGGATCCTCCTTCTTTGGCCTCACAAAGTCCTGGGATTATAGGCGTGAGCTACTGTGCCAGGCCAAACTGCATAATTATGCAGTACATTGTTATTAACTATAGTCATCATATACACTGGACCTCCTGAACTTATTCCTCCTGTCTCACTGAAATTGTATGTCCTTTGACCAGCATCTCATCCCCTATCCTTACCCACTGGAACCCTAATAGCCACTCTCTGCTTCTATGAATTCAACTATTTTAGATTCCTTCCACATTATTAAGTGTGATTATGCAGTATTTGTGTTTCTGTGCCTGGCTTATTTCACGTATAATTTCACTAGCTTAGTCAGGGGCCTAGCCTGAGAACATTTAAGAAGTTGAAAAGATACAATATTTTAAAAATTGCATTCCATGATTCTACCAAGGGCAAAATTAAAGGCAGTTTACATGACATACAAATTGAGATCTGCATTTTATTCAAGTTACTCAACTTGAAAATTTAGAGAATGGTTGGCAACCTTCACCCTACCTGAGAAAATCACTTCTTTTTAGAAAGTTAAGTAATAAATATGAAATTAGAGGTTATTCTCCACCATTGATAGCCAAACTTCTCTAATAATTTTTGTTTCTGAATAAGTTACAATTAATAATATTTTTTTACCTTCTGCTCTGATTTTGCATATGTTACTATGGAATTGTAGGCCTGGTGAAAGAGAAAAGGTCCCTATATCTCAGAATTACTGTGTAATCAAAATACTTGAATGCTCTTTTGTTATTAGTGGTATGATAATTTATAATTCATTTATTCTTCCTGAGCCTTAGTTCCTTATCTACAAATGAAAGATTTATGGGAGAAAATCTCTGAGGTCCCCTCAGCTCCAAATATCTTTGAATTTATTCTATTTATAAAGTCTTAGGTAGCTAACAACTTTTAAAGCCTCTTTAAGCCTTAATTTTCTCACTTAAAAATGGGAATTATGCTAACATTTCTGTGTATCCTATAGCCTTGTCATCAGGTGAGATAAAATGATGAGTATATGTGTGCATGAATTGATTTACAGAATCAGTAAGTATAAGATATAACATATTAGCTGATCAGAAATAGCATTTTCAGATCATTATGATTTATCAAGGAAGGGTTATTCATTTTGCAAATATTTATTGAGCACTTATGAGCTGGATGCCATTCTTCAGGCTGAGGATACTTTGGCGCATAAAAAAGAGAATTCCCTGCCCTTGTGGTAGCAGTTTCTTCATTTTACCTGGAAGTGATGCACCTGATTTGCTGTAGGAATTTCCTTTCACTGCTGCTATCTTGTTCCCTAAAAGGTGGTGAAAAATAATGAACTCCTAATTAGCACCTCCTAGGGATTCTGGTTGTCATTTCTCTTAGTTATGGGTTTTCTGTTAAGAGTTTTTTGATACATACACGATGGCACTGCTGATTCATCAGTGGTTGTTTGAGTTTTTTCCAAGAATGAGAAGGGATTTACATGATGACTGTTTTCATGCTCTGATGTTTTTATGTGATCCTCTCTGTTGCTGGCAGTGCAAAAAAGTAAGATGTGCTCTTACGGGGTTAAGCATGCAGGGCCTGAGAAAGATCAAAGTGACTTGATTTGTTTAGAGAATTCCCTGACCTTAACCTTATTAACTTTGGTGCTTAGTTTGTTGAGTTTAACCCTTAATACCAAAATAATACTCATGCCAGCCTTTAGTGAAAAAGCAGATGGAAAGACTTAAGTAAATGAGTAAGTTATTAAACATGTCATTTTTGAAAAAGGATGCTCATTCCCATATTAGAAGTCACTATTGAGCTTTTGCTGTCATATAATGCTAAGGACATGTTTTCTCTTTTCTTAGCTTGTTTGTAGAAAAGCTTCCTAACCATCGAGATTACCAGCAATGTGCAGTACCTGAAAAGCAGGATATTATGAAGGTATTGTGGGTTTGCTTCTCCACTGTGGGATCAAATGTTCTATAAGTATCCATTATTGATTCACTCTTCCCCTTCCTCCCCTTTCTCTTTCTCTTGAGAGTTTGAGCACAAAAAATTGATTCCATTAACAATGATGTTTCGATTTTTTTCTTAGACATTTAATGATCATTACTGAGCCAGTGTGGTTTGTCTAATTGATGCTGGCAGAACAGAAAGAAAGAAAAATGTTATCTTATGCTGTGAATGAGGAATTATTTTATAGTTCCTCCCAGAGATTAAGAGAATGTTGTATATTTCTTCAGATTTCTTTCAGACAGTCATTTTGGCTGGTTTTAATTATTTTATACAGCGCTGAACTCAGTAATTATTTGAAAATTAGGGTTAGTTATTAAGGCAGCTACAAAGTTCTAGCTATTTACGTCTTAGAGAACTAGAATTATCAAGTGTGCTGGGGAAGCAGGAGGTGGTGGGATAAAATACTATCAAGGAGAAAGAGTGTTGTAATTTATCATCAATTTTTTGATGATTTATTTATCACCAATAATTGCTATATCTGTAATTTTGGTTATGTCTAGCTGTGGACATATTCTTTTAAATAAACATTTACAATGTTTCCCATTTATTTGTCTTTAATAGTTTGTGTTGATCTTATATGATGGAAGATAAAATCACGTATACAAAGCCAATCATATCATGATATTTTAAATAATTTTTGAATAACATTTTACCGCATAATGAAATAAAAGCTTCCCTGTGAGTCTTTTCAGACCTGAGGATGCATAAGCAAAATGCAGATTTTGTCAAATGATGATCTACATTTTATTTATTTATGAGTCAGAATCTTGCTCTGTCATCTAGGCTGGAGTGAAGTGATGCTATCTCAGCTCACTGCAACCTCTGCCTCCCAGGTTCAAGTGATTCTCCTGCCTCAGACTTCCCATTAGCTGGGATTACAGGAGCCTGCGACGCCCAGCTAATTTTTATATTTTTAGTAGAAATGGGATTTCACTATGTTGGCCAGGCTGGTCTCGAGCTCCTGACCCCAAGTGATCCATCCTCCTCTACCTCCCAAATTGTTAGGATTACAGGTGTAAGCCATTGCACGTAGCCAACTTTTTTAAAGTTTACAGTCACTTACCTGAAGAATCAATTATTTTCATGCCTTTGTGTAGCATTTCCTCTTAATTATTTTGTTCATTCAACCTCAGAGAGTTCTGTTTGGAAACCAAAGGTGCCAGGCTGCCAAGGTGACTCATGTACTATAATTTAGGGTTGTGCTTACTTTTTTTTTGTGGAAGAAAAATTCTCCAAAAGCATATACGTTTCTCTTGTTTATGCTTATCGAATAAATAGATAGATGAATAAATAAATAAATGAATGATAAAGATTAAGAGATTAGAAACTTGGTGAAAGAGCTAGAGTCAGGAGACTTGAGTTCCAGTCCTAAATGGGCCACTAGCCGGTTGCATAATGCCCACAGGACCTTCAGTCTCTCCCGGCCTTTGTTTCCTCACCTCTAAAAAGGAAGACGTAGTTACACTACATAAGAATTCCCAGCTTTTGCTGCCATTAAGGATCCCTAAGGAAGCTGATCCAGAATCCCAGACCCCTTCTCTAGAGGTGTTAATTCAGTAGATCTGGATTAGGCTTGGGAATCTGTATTTTTATAAAAAGTGCCCCAGCTGTTCTTTTTACAGTCTAGCATGTCTAGAAATCCCTATCCACCACATATTCTCTCACATCCCTTCTAATTCTGATGCTACATGATTTATGTACTATAGAATGTATTGATCTCAAAACCACTGCCTAAAAGTGGGGTGCTACAAAGGTAGCCACAAAGTTCTAGCTATTTACGTCTCATAGCTTTGGGCTATAACAAAATGCTTACCGAATCAGTAGAGCCAATAAAGGTCTTACAAAAGGGATAATGGTTTCTATCCTGCTGGAAAGTTATATTTTGGACCCATCAAGAGATTTATTTTTCTGCCATCATTGGTTACTCATGACTTTATTTGTAATACACCTATCAGCTGTTTTTCTTTCTCACCTGATGACCTGAAAGAATATATTGAAAACTCCCACTAATCAATATATGTATATATTTTTAAAAGAAACTGAAGGAGATTGCATTCCCAAGGACAGATGAATTGAAAAACGACCTTTTAAAGAAATATGACATAGAATACCAAGAATATTTGCAAAGCAAAGTAAGTTCAGTTGGTAAATTTATTTCATGACAATTTTATGTACAAGTATTTTTTGAATTTTATTTTTATGTGATGAGTTTTTCAAATGTTATGTGCATTTAAATTAAAATTTAAAGATGCAGTGACGTGAAACCAATAAAAAATTTATGCTGATATCCAGGTTAAGCAGTTACACCAACGATGTGGTATTTCTGTTTCCCTACAACATCCAATAAAGCAATGTGTTAAAAAACAGATTTCCTACAGTGATTTAAGTAGAACTTTTTGATCAACATTTGATTATATTTGCCAGTGTAACCTTGAGCCAGATGGCTGCTCTTTGCCAGATGAACAGCCAGTAGGAGGTAGGGAGAGCAGTATATGGTTTTTGATGTGTTTAATTATGTAGGCCTTAGAAATGTGAATTTGATTCTTAAAATGTTATAGTCAATATTGAGTGAGATGGAATAATAGCTAACCATGCAGTCGAAATGTAATTGTATCACCCAAAAGTGGTGGCTTCTGGATTGTTATTAATAAAGAATGAACATGACGATAATGTCTGAGAGGCAGAAAGGCATTGGAAGAAGAAATTGGCCAGTCAGCGTATAGGATACTCACATTCAACATAGCATTATTATAAGTGCTTTTTTGCTTTCTTGTTTGTGTTTTATTTGCTTTGGAGGTTACCACCTTCACTGACTCTCACTTCAGTTCAATCTCATCAGCTCTGAAAATGGTCATTAAGCTTTTTGACTTTCTATAGGCAGGACTGGCAGGCTGATTTGAGTGATGAGTTTTAACGAAGCAGTAGAGGGAATGTTGAAATTGAGTATCCCTCAAGTGTGCTTATTAATGACTTGAAATATGAAAGATAGAAATGATCTTGGAGGCTAAGAAAGCAAGGGAGACGAAAGCCCAGTTCAAGTCTCTTTTCCACAGTCAGCAATGTGTATGATCTTCCTCTTCAGGATCTTCCTGGGAGGAACAGGCTCTGCAGCTGTTCCATGTTCTGCCTTTGATACCTGTGACTTCACAGCCGACGGTAGAATCTCATGTAGAAATCTCCGTGGAGTTAGAATAGCAGCACTAAGCCTAGGAGAGATGCATAGATATGCCTGTGAGCCCTTGCTTCAGCCAGAATTAGCATCATTTGGAAGCTTGTTAGACATGCAGAATCTCAGGCTCCACCCCAGACCTGCTGAATCAGGATTTGCAACTGCAATTAGATCCAGAGTGATTTGTATGCACCTGAATGTGCAGCTATAAGCTGTGTCCCCCAGGCTAATGCCATCTTACGGTAGCTCCCAAATCTAGTTTACATCAAATCACCTGGAAGGCTCATTAACATTTCATATTATCTGACCTAATAAGCCTGGATATTTTGTTAGGACTGGAGAGCTTGGGACTCCTCATTTTTAATAAAACTCTTGATTAGTGGTGATAGAAAGGTTGGAACAGATTTTAATAATCATTTTTTAGTGATTCCTTCTTATCCATAAATCTCCAGCAGAGTATGAGTTCTAGAGTCAAATGCAAAAAGTTCTAGGACAGCACTGTTAAATAGAACTCCCTGTGATGATGGAAGTGTTCTGTTTGACACTTTCCAGTATGGTACCCACTAACCACATGTGGCTACTGGGTACTTAAATGTGACTAGTGTGCCTGAGGTACTAAATGTTGGTTAATTAATTCTAATTTTGTTTCACTGTAATCAAGTCCAAATAATCATGTGGCTAGTGACCTCTATATTGGAAGCGTAGTAAGGGTGAGATATTTTGTTTCATAGGGTCTTGTCAGTCTGACTGAGCAAACAACCTTGACCTTGATTTTCTACTATTTAGAAGCATAAGGGAATGGAGGGATCCTGATTGTCATGGCCTATCATCTCTGGTAAAATATCAGTGGATTTAGAACTTCTATCTTAATCAGATCAAGGGGCTTTTTGCCCTGGTCTTATGTATTTCTCTCACTGTTCTGAGTGTCCCTGTGGGCATACAACAGTATCTAGCCTTTTCTCTGTCTGCTTGAAGATTGAAAACATCTAATTCCAGTTCAATGTTTTTGCCTTGGAAACTAACCTCTCCTGGCTGCCACATTTTTCAGAACAAATATAAAGCTGAAATTCTCAAAAAACTGGAGCATCAGAGATTGATAGAGGCAGAAAGGAAGCGGATTGCTCAGATGCGCCAGCAGCAGCTAGAATCCGAGCAGTTTCTGTTTTTCGAAGATCAACTCAAGAAGCAAGAATTAGCCCGAGGTCAGATGCGAAGTCAGGAAACCTCGGGGCTGTCAGAGCAGATTGATGGGAGTGCTTTGTCCTGCTTTTCCACACACAAGAACAATTCCTTGCTGAATGTATTTGCAGATCAACCTAATAAAAGTGATGCAACCAATTATGCTAGCCACTCGCCTCCTATAAACAGGGCCTTAACACCAGCTGCTACTCTAAGTGCTGTTCAGAGTAAGTGATGAAATGCACCCCTGTGGGACATTGAGGCTCCTCAGATAGAATCATATTTCTATAGCATCTGGGAGGGTCCTCCTCATTTCATTAATTGTAGTAGAACCCCTGCAGAATATGGTGTGAATAACAGGAGTAACTTTCAATACTCTTTGACTTTTACTATATATAACCTTAAAATTCAGAAAATATGCTTTGCCCCCAATAGAGCAGAGACTCTATAATAAATGGGAAGTATTTTATCATTGAACAGAGATTTTTTTTTTTTTTTTTTTTTTTTTTTTTTTTTTTTTTTTTTTTTTTTAGACGGAGTTTCACTCTTGTTACCCAGGCAGGAGTGCAATGGCGCGATCTTGGCTCACCGCAACCTCCGCGTCCTGGGTTCAGGCAATTCTCCTGCCTCAACCTCCTGAGTAGCTGGGATTACAGGCAC